ATTTTGAAATATATAACACATTATTATTGACTGTAGTCACCTTTCTGTGCAATAGATCTCAAAACCAATTCCTTCTGTCTATCTATAACTTTGCACCCTTTGATCAACAACTCTCAGTTCCCTCCCTCCCCACCACCACCCTGACTTTGGTAACCATCATTCTACTCTCAACTCTTTAGATTTCAATGGTGATGAGTTATTTCAATTTCTTCTATGGTGTTCATTAGCCCAGGCTTAGGAGAGGACAATGGCATGATTCAAAGTTAGTGTGTTACTGGGTGAGAGATTAAAGTGATTGAACACGGAGTCAAAGATGGACAGGGAAGGAAGAGAATGCAGGGGTGGGGAGAAATGGAGAGAAACTAGGGGTCATGTGGTACTTGAAACACAGTGCCTAGCACATAGTAAGTACTCAATAAATACAAGTATTTGTTGAGTAAGAGTGGAAGATTCTGTGGAGTCAAACCATAGGGTTCCAGGAATGTAACTTCTGAAAAAAGCAGGCAATTCTGACTAGAAAGTGGGACCTGAATTTCAGGCGAGGCCAAAGATTCTGAAATGAAGAGTGGGTGGTGATGTGAGAGTCAAGAAGGTTAAGGAACTACAGGCCAGGGCATTGGAGGGATCACTGGACCAGAGCCTACCATCAGCCCAGCCTCTAATTTTCTACTGGGAAGAGGCAGCCTACTTAGAGACTGGCAAAGTAGGAGCAAGTGCGCAGGCTAGTGGCTGGAATCTAATGTCTTCTGTACCTTTAAGTGGATAGAGCTCAGAAGATACCAGGAAGAAGCTGATGGTACTTGGCTTGACTGTGGAGGAACAGAGTTTCCTCAGGGATGGGGGAACGATGAAGCCCCTTTAAAGTTTGGAATTAACAAGCAAAAGTAGAGTCACAGCCCCTCTGAGTCCTAGGAAGGGAGAGGGAGAACTCTGCTCCTCCTATATGCCTGGCCCCTCACTCTAGGTTTACCCCAGCCCCTGTAGCCTGTCTCCAGTGCCTGGGGTTGCCACCTTTCCCTGCCTTTACTCCTTGGTGCCAGCTCTCTCATGCGGGTCAGGCTGGGGCCCCTGACAGCTAATGGGCTGACACCCCTCTCAGTGATAGAGAGCCCTGTACCCTGCATACACACTGCCTAAGCCTGGAAAATGAAGTCAGGCCTCCACCCCCACCCTGCCCTGCCCAGCGCTGCCTCTCACACATGAGGCAGAGCATAGCATCTTGGGAAGATCCTTGGCCTGGACAATAGGAGCCCTGTGGGGTCTAGTCCTGACTCTGCCATTGCCTTACTGCGTGACCTTGGGCAAGCTCCCTCCCTTCTCTGGGCCTGTTTCCACATCTGTACAGAAATTGTTCTGCCTACCTCACAGACTTGTTCTAAGAAGTAAATAAAATAATGAGTGTGCAAATAATTTTAAGCAGTAAAATGTTCTGTGCACACAAGAGAGTGGTTAAGTTAATGCTGCGAGATTTGCCCTGTGAAATCAGGGAACATATTCTCCATATGCTCAGCAAGCTATTCCTATGACTCTGCATGTCTCATTCTAAGAACTGAAATCTTCAAGTGTAAAATACCAGGGTATTCACTCAGGTAGTCTAGTCCCCAGCCTAGCTCCTGCTACACTGAACTTGAACCAAACTGAACTGGTTACCCAAGATGTCCTGCATTTTTCCATTTCTATGTCTTTGTTCACTGAGTTCCCTACACGAGTACTTTTTGCTTCCTCTCTGCTGATTAAAATCCTTTCCACCATTCAAAGCCAAGATCAAGTACCACCTCTTCATCAGGCTTTCTATTAAGTTAGCAGCTGAAGGGCATCTCTCTGGTTTCTGGAGACTCATGGACCGTTTTTCACTTTCGGTGTAGTCTTTGGGAATCCCCTTTCCCAATAAAGCAAAGTAATTTTCTCCTTGTAGGAGACAGTGCACACTTATCAGTGCCAAAACCGAGGCTCATGGCAATGTCAGGAAGGAAGAAAGGGAGGTGTCTCAGTCCATTCATGCTGCTATAACAAAAAACCTTAGACTGAGCAATTTATAAACAACAGAAATTATTGCTCACAGTTCTGGAGGCAGGAAAGTCCAAGATCAACACACCAGCAGATTCGGTGTCTGGTGAGGGCCTGTTCCTCATATGGCGCTTGCTATGTGTCGTCACATGGTGGAAGGGGAAAAAGGTAGCTCACTCCAGCTTCTTTTATAAGGCACTAATCCCAGTCAGGGTGGAGCCCTCATGACTTAATCACTTCCCAAAGGCCCCACCTCTTAATACTATCACATTGGGTATTAGGTTTCAACTTATGAATTTGAGGGAGACACCAATATTCAGACTGTAGCAGGAGGGAAGCAGGGAGTGAGGGAAGAAGGGAGGAAAGAAGAAAGGAAAGGGAGATCAAGAGGAGACAGGGAGAAAGGGAGAAAATGAAGGAGGGAAGGGGCCTAGCTAACCTGGAGTGGTTAAGACTCAGCCTTCCTGAACACTGGTGGCTCTGTTTTTTTTTTAATTTTTTTTTTTTTTTTTTGGTGGGGGGTGGTGTGGGAGACTGGGCTCTCACGTGGGGTCAGTGCCAACAAGGGACTAAAGGCCAACGGGGAGATTTCACTCCAGGAACAGTAACATCAACTCTGCTTCCTCCTCACACCTCCTAGGAAAAACTGCCTTGGAAGATTCATCATTAGAATTTGAGATGGTCTATTCCAGCCCCTGGAGCATTGTCTGGATGGGAATGGTAAGGCCTGGGGAGTAGAAGGGATTAAGTCACCAGACTTTGAAGTTGTTTCTGCTACTCACTAGCAGCACTGGAAAGAGAACAACTGGAAAGAGAATAGCTGGGAGTGGTCTGGACAGCTGAGCCACCAATAACTTGCACACTTAACTTTGTTGGGTTCTCAGTTTCCACAGCTAGAAAATGGGGTTGAGTTTCACCCCTTCCTCTTTGCTTAGAATTTGGTATGCTCTGATAACCTCCTTCAACGCAAATCCTTTGACATGCCCAGAGTGTCCATGTGCTTTTAGGGCTCAACCAGAGAATCTGTGTCCCAGATGTCATAGTTTTCATCACGGAATGGTGTTAAATTTTGTCAAATTACTTTCTGTGTCAATTGAGATGATCATGTGTTTTCTTTTCTTCATTCTATTAATGTGATATATTATATTAATTAGTTTTCTCATGTTCAGCCATTCTTGCATGCCTGAGATAATTCCCATTTAAAGGGTGTACTTTGCCAAGGGCTTGTAGCAGATGAGGCTTCTGAGGTGACTCTTAATCCCCAAGGGACCTGACTAAGGGGATGGTGGGTAGGACGGGGTGAGGTCCTGGACAAACCATCCCTAAGGGGTCCAGATTGAAAGAAAGGTAGAAGAAAGCCCAGAATGCCTACCCTGAAGCCCAGTCCTTCAGTTCTCATGCTCCTTGGAGATAAACAGTTGCATTGCTCTCCAAAGTACCTAAGAATAAAAGTCTGGAAGCTGAGCAGGGCAGGAGCATGGAGATAGATATCCAGTCTTCTTGCCTTCCTTCCTAAAGTCTCTCAGGCACTAGTAGCTAAGGAAAATGGGAGAAGTGAGAGAGATGAGAGGCCAGTCACTTTAAAACCCCATGCCCCACCTCCCTTTCCCCCTGACAGGGGAGCATGATGTAGGGGGCTGCCAAGGCAGCCCCCAGGAAGAGCTCTGAACATCTAAAGTTCTGGGCTATCCTCCTCCATCCCTTCATCTTTTGTCCCTTTCACTGCTTATTTACATCCCCACCCACAGTGTGTAGGGGAAGTACAAGGAGGCCCTGTAGAAGGATGAAGATTTAGCAAAATGAAGGTGCCTGGATTTGGGCGAATTGAGTGCTGGTCCAGGGCATGTGTGCCTCCCTCTTGTGCTCTTCTCCACACCATAGGGGTGCTGACCCCTGCAGGCTGAGTTTCCCAGGCTCCAGAGTCAACTACCGTCTGGCTGGGTTCTACCAACGGGAATTCCTGGTGGGAGGGCAGGAAAAATGGAGAAGCCAGGGTACTTAGCATCTGCCTTCTCTGTCTCGGGTGCTGTCTCTGCTGTGTCTCCTTTGTGGTCCTGCTGTCAACATACATCCAATTCTGCTGTGTGTTTTCAGCTCCAGGCTAAGGTCACACCACCTCCTCTGGCTGTCCCTCCATTCTTCACCTTCCCCTGCTCTGCCCTGTATTGCAAGTGGGTTGATCCCTGTAGGCTGTGTTTCCCAGGCTCTCATATTAGTTGACTCTGGTTTCCCCAATGAGAGAGACATCAGAGTAATATTCCAGTGCAGGAATGAGGGAAAGGAGAGGGCATTTTTTCCTTTCCTCTGGTTTGGACAGCATGTTTCTAGCTCCCATGGACAAGCCTATGATTCCACTTTTCATCAGATGACCCCTCTCCCTAAACTCTGGAAATACCTCCTCCCTTACCCCTTCAGCCTAAGGGTGATGATGTTGGCTTCCTCCTGTTGCTAATCTCTGGGTTACCTGCTCATCCTGTTTGGATCCTCAGCCTGTCACCTACTGAACCAGTTTCTTTTCTGCATTAAATTCCCTGTCATAAGTATTTGGTAGTTTGTTTTCTCAGTTAGAACTTAACTGTGAACTGGACTAGTGGGAATGAAGTCTGTGAATGAAGGTGAGCAAATGGGAGGCTCCTCAGTCACTTGACTTAAAGTAATAGAGGACAGGAGGACAACCCCTGAAAAGGCATCTTGTAGTAGTCAGGGAAATGAAGGGAGGCACAGGGCTGAGCAAGCTGATGTATTCTTCTACCCATTTGAATTCTTCAGGCCCTTGCTTCCAGGGTAGCACATTTCCAAACTCTGTAGAGGATCTTGGTAGGGAGGTGGATTCATTTTCTCTTTTGCTCTTTCAGTGATTGTTGGGACTCCTGTGATTGTTGGATGCCAGACCATTACCATCCTTCCCCATGGCCGATCATATCCCTTCCCCCAATGAACCCCCTCTTTTCCTCTATATGCACATGCCAGACACAGCAGTCACCAGAACTTACTTTGTTGACAGTTTTATTGTGGAAGATAATACAGGAGAGCAGCTCCAGGGGAGTTGGTAGAGTTGTACTGCCCTCCAGCTACCTGGGTCCCCAGGTGGTTTTTGGAGGCATCATGGGTTCCTGAGAAGACTGCAAGATTACAGTTGGTGTTTGAGGTAGTTAATCAACACAGGGGGAATATCCAGCTGGTTGATGGCATGTGGCTGGCTGGCCTGGCGCAGGGCTCTGCGTATAACTAAACGGGCCTGTGACAGGAGCGACCGTGGAGTGGCTACACCAAGGGGAAACAGGTCATGAGAAGCAAGTCTCAGCATAATTTTCCCACCCAGCGTGCCCTGGCTACTACAGACTTAATGCCCTCTCCCTTCTAAAAACTGTCCCCCACACTGTCCCTAATGCATATTACCAATGGGGACACACTGAGGCTTAGAAAGGCATGCTCAGGACCACAAAACAGTCATTGGGAGAGCCAGGACCAGAAATTGGGCTAGTGCTTCTCGCTCACCTCATCTTACTAACCCCTTCCCTAACATGAAATTTGTAAACTCTTCTCCACTGTGGCACCAGGAGGAGAAAGATGGAGTTTTCTCCAGTTCATCCCAGAAGATTGGCTTGAGTGGTGATTTGGGGCCCTGGGACCTCTAAGCTAGGAGGCCTATGGTGCTAGCCTGCTCCCCACTCACCTCGGGCCTGTAGCAGCAATGCAATGCCTTTATCATCTTGCGAGTTCAGGTCCAGGGAGAGAGATGGAAGGTAGATGTTAGCACCAAAATCAATTAACAGCTGGATGTACTCTGGCTCACAATTGTGGTGGAGGCAGATTTCGAGGAGGGTGCGGGGCCGTTTGATATGAGCCAGTAGGCCCTGATCGGTGCAGTTGTAGTTGGGGTCTGCCCCATGAAGCAAAAGCAGGCGGAAGCAGTCGAGATGCCCGTAGACTGCGGCCAAATAAAGGGGGCCTGAACATGAAGCTATGTTCGATGCCCAGACTGGTAGTTTAGCCTTGACGTTGGCCTCTGCACCATGGCCCAGGAGCTCCTGCAGGATAGCAACGGCGCCATCACGGGCAGCTGCAAGCACAGGAGAACAGTTGTTGTAGATGCTACCACCAGGACAGGCACCAGCTTCCAAAAGCACACGCACACAGTCCAGATGGCCATGACTGACAGCAGTGAAAAGTGGTGTCTGTGCCTTGACATCCAAGCTATCGACATCAGCACCATGTGCCAGGAGGACCTGCAAACAGCTCGAGTGGCCATATGAAGCAGCCAAGCGCAAGGGTGTCCCAGGAACACCCCAGCCGCTCCTGCTGTTGATGAAACGTTTGTAACGCTCCTGGCGCAAAAGCTGGTCCAAGGTACAGGAGTCATTGTCGTACACTGCTTGATTGAGAGCCTGCTTCTCCCCCGTGTCAGTGTCTTCCTCTTCCTTGTCGGGCTGCAGGAGGGAGAAGATCTTGGTGATGTCCATGAGGTTCATCTTGGCTGATTGAAGCAGGACTATTCTCATTATGAGCAGGGGGATATGCCAGATCTGTGGGTGACAAAAAAGGAGAAGAGACTGAGGGTACACATCAAAAGCCTGGATGTCAGCCTCCACTTGAACCCTTTTCTCCCTGCCCTTCACCATCAGGGTACTCATTCATGGGTCTCCTGCTTCTCACTCTTACTTTATTTCAGGCCCCAGAGACAGCTGCCAAAACAGGTCAGGCCATTTCACAGATTGGTTCCTTTGCATATACTGTTCTGCCTGACCCTCAAACTCCTACTTTTGGGAAGCCTTCCCTAATCTCTTCCTTCTCCTGCTCAGGGATTCCAAAGAACCACAACTAGACTTCAGCTATGAACTTCTGCACAACATTTCCACTTATCTGTGCTCCATTAGTATGTAAAGTCCAGGGCGAGGATCCTTTCTTCATCTTGCATTCCTCCACCTCCAGTAGGGCCTACATCATGGCTGGGGATTTGGTAAACATATCTTCCTCAGTTCAGAATGTGTGGATTAATGAGGTGGCTCTGGCCTGGCAGTTGCTAGGCCAACAGATTAATGCTTTGTGGTGTTATACTGTTATCCTTTAGCATTTTGATATCAGTCTTGTGGGGCAAGCCCTCAACTCTATGTATCAGCATTTTGGATGAGGTTCACCCTCTTTGCAGCCCCTCATATCTGACCAAGTCTCCCTCTCCTGGGTCTTCTGTAACCTCCCCCCAGACTCAGGCCCCATGCTTTAGGAACAGAGGTGCTTAGAAAATGGGTGTTCAATGACATTTACTTATTAAATGAAGAGGTGGCATTACAAAGAACACACTTCAGGGCCGGCCCGGTGGCTCACTCGGGAGAGTGCGGTGCTGATAACACCAAGGCCCCGGGTTCGGATCCCATGTAGGGATGGCCGGTTCGCTCACTGGCTGGGCGTGGTGCTGACAACACCAAGTCAAGGGTTAAGATCCCCTTACCGGTCATCTTTTGAAAAGAAAAAAAAAAACAAAACAAAAAAAAAACAAAGAACACACTTCAAGTAAAATGAAGGCAAATAAATGGCAGCAAACAGTCAAGGATTCCAGGGCAAGTCCTCCTCTCTGGTGACAATTGGTTTCTCCTCCAGGACCACTTCAGTCCAGGAGTCCCTTTGATTGCCAACACCTCCTCCAAACTCACTGCTTCTCCCATCCCTCTGGCTCAAGCCTTTTCCCATCCTTTCTGCCCAACACAGCCTGGAGCCTTGTCTCAACCCTCAACTCTTCTCTTCCCCTAATCCTTAGGCCTTACAAAATCACCCATGGCCCAATGACTGACTCAACCTAACCCCTGACCTTACCAGTCCTGTTCCTAGTGTTCCAAAGTCAAGATCACCCACCTCAGTTTGAAATGTCATCAGGGTGAGCTGGTAGGTTTTTCAGAGCTTGAGTCTCCCTACTCTCCCATACCCTGCAGCCAAGGTGTCAGGGCCTCATACCTCTTTTTATTCACTGTCCACCCCGTCTTCTCTTTATTAGCCTGGGACCTCAAGTACCCACCTCATAGAAAGAAAATTGTGAGGTGCGTGGGTGGAGTCACTCTCAACTTTAGGTACCCCCTCACCTGCCAGCATCAACCCCATATATAGTCTTATTATTTATTCATTCTTCTGGTGCAATGGAAGAATAGGATTTTGGAAATCAGGGACACCTGGGCTTGCAACTCAGCAGTTCTGGTTCCTAGCTGAGGAACCTTGGGCAAGTCCCTTCCTTGGGACTCAGTTTCCTTATCTATAAGACAGAAATGATAGTCTGACTCATGAGGCTGTTAGGAGGAAGAGAGCTACCATATATTAGATCTTCAAAGGTGAGCTTCCTTTCTCTGCACCTTCAACCTCCTCATACTGCTTACTCCTCCTCAACCATCTTAGGAAATGAAAGAAAAAACTGCTATGGTCCTTTGTCCCACTGTAGCTACCTTTCTCTTCATCTCTCCCATCTTCACTAAACTTATCCAAAGAGTTGTCTACTTCCCCACCTCCCATTCACTTCACCCTCTGCTCACTACTCTTGCTCCCCCCACCCTAAATCACACACCGAGAAAGCTCTTCAAAAGGTCATCCTTGTGGCTAAATCCAGTGGATGTTTCTCAGATCTTTCCTTCCCTGACTTTTCTGGGATATCTGTCCCTCCTGACCACTCCTTCCTACAAATCCCTCCCTCAACTTCCTGGCTGGCACATTCTCCTAATTTTTTTCCCCTTCATTCTCCCTGAAATATTTATATTCCGCTTGTTCTCTCATTCATCCTCTTCTCTCCAGTCCCAGAGCTTTAGCTCTCACCTTTATTCCGATGATTTCAAGTCTATCACTCCAAGACCCCCAGCTCTCTCTCCAGCTCCAGGCATGTATACACTGAATTTCTTCAGGCACTTCAAAGTCAGCAGTATCACATACGACCACCACCACCATCACCAAACTTGATCCGTATCTCAAACTTGATCCATATATCCATATCCTCACCATCTACCTGGTCAACCAAACCAAAAACCTAAGACTCATCTCAATCTTCTCACCTCTTTGTCCCACTCCCATCCAATCCCATCAAGTCCTGTGGATTTTACCTGCTAGAGACCTCTCCAGACCATCTGTCCCCCTCAGGGCCCAACCTCGTTGCCAGTGCTTTATCTAACCCCCCACCGTCTTTTGCCTCAACAGTTATAGCAGTCTCCTACATAGTTTCCCTTTTCAATATTTTCTCCACATTGTGGCTAAAGTGATAATTAAAAAATACAAATTTGGTTTTTACCAATCCTCTTTTTTAAATCCCTTAATGGCTTTTTTTTTTTTTTTTTTTTTTTTTAGTTTCTAGTCAGTGAATTTATCATGCATATTTTATTATTTTATTTTTTATTGAAGCTTAATTGATTATATATATGTGTGGGGTAGATTTGAATATCAATACATGTGTACAATATGTGGTGATCAAGTCAGGATAATTAGTGTACTCATGTTTACAAAACGTAATCAGTCTTTGTGACCCTTAACTAATTTCTTGATAACTCCCCTCCCCTTCCCCTTTCTCACCTCTGATAACCACAGTTCTGTTCTCCATTTTTTTTAAAGTTCAGTGTGTTACTGTGATTCTTTCTTTCTTTCTTTTTCTTTCTTTCTCCTCCCTTCCTTCCTACCTTCCTTCCTTCCCTCCTTCTCTCTCACTTACGAGTGAGGACATGCAGTGTTTCTCTTTCTGTGCCTGGATTATTTCACTTAACATATTTCTCTAAAAATTCATTCATGTTGCTACAAATGGCAGAATTTCATTCTTTTTTATGGCACAGTAGTATTCCATTGAGTCGATATACCACATTTTTCTTATCCAGTCATCTGTCAGTGGACATTTAGGTTTGCCTTAGCCCTGCTCACAGGTCCTTCATGAATAGATCTTGGCCAATCTCTCCAGCCTCACTTTCTGCTACTCCTCTACTAATACCCCAATATCCAGTGATAAGTGAAGAGAAATGATGGCTGTCAGTATACATCATGCTTCTTTCTGCCACATGCAGTTCCTTCTGGTGAGTTAGCTCCTCCAGAATCTGTGCTGCTATAGCACTATAGCAGTCATCACACTGTATTGTAACTGTTTCTATATAGGTCTGTTTTGCCCCCACTGCAGATGGAAAGGCCATATGCCACCGTAGTAAAACATGGTTCTGGAGTTTTGCTTCAATCCCAGCTCTAGCTCTTAGTAGCTGTGTGACCTAGGGCAGGTCACTTAATCTCTCTATGCCCATTTCTTCATCTGTAAAGAAAGGATAATAGTAGTACCTGCCTTGGAGGGCTGTTGTTAGGATTAAATGAGTTAATACATAGTAAGTGCTTAGAATAGTGCCTGAACGTAGTCCTCAGTAACTGTTTTTACTATGATGATGATCATTCCTTAGGTCTCGAATTTATACAACTATTGCTCCCTACTTAATGTTCTAGAACCTAAGAACTGGAATTAACCTTGAAGATCATTTAACTTAATTTCTTCAATTTAGAGATAAGGAAACCAAGGTTCAGAAGGGAGCAGGGACTTCCCTAAGGTCACATAGCTGTTACTGTCAGTTGTCTCATTAACAAGAACCCACAACACACTTGTGCTTTTCAAAACTATTTCATGTACTGGGATAGGTAATAATTTTGTAAATGGAGGAAACTGCGGCCAGAGAGGGTAAGGGATTTGCCAGGTGCTTTACATCAAGGCAATAGCAGAGTCAGAAATAGAATCCAGGTGTTCCTACTTCCCATCCTGCTTTTTCTATTACAACATGAAACACAAACACATACCCCTCCCCCTTGCCCCAAGCAAAGTCACATTGCAGCTCCCAGGATTCTCAGCTTTTGCATGTCATGCTGAATTCCGGGGACTTGAGTAATGGGAGGTCCCTTTACAAATCGTTTCTTCTGACAGCCAGTAGGGATTCCCTTCTTACTATTTTATTTTGGGAACTGGCATCTGGGGAGATGAAGAGGACAGGAAGTGGTGGAAGGAAATGCCGAAGCTCTTACCAAGGTCATACCATCAGCCCACAGCACGGCCCATGTAATGAGCCTCCAGAGGGAGATAAAGTCATGGCCTCCAACTGGCTTTGGCACCTGAGTGAATTGCACCACATTAGATAAAGGCAAGAAAATCCAGCTAGTCTATTGCCTAAACTCGCTTTGCTGTGGTTTATTAATCAAAAGAGTTATTGTGTGCCCACTGTGTGCAAGGAGCCCCCCCCGATCACCAAAGTGCAAGAGTTTTAAATCTTTTTGTGACGTTGGCCCGTGTGGCAAACTGGTGAAGTCTGTGGACCCCTTTCAGAATGGTTTGTAGTACATCAAATAAAATACGTAGGATTAAAGGAAACCAATTATATTGAAATACTGCTATCAAAATATTTTTAAAACTGCATATATAGTAATAGATGATCCTTATTAATATATTAAATAACAAGATTTACTAATAATTTCTAAGTGGTGATGAGTGTAAATGACATTTCAAGATTTCTACCACAACTGTAATACGATACAAAATGTCTGCATGATTTCTT